TTATCGAATCAGGAAAAAAGTGAGTGTGGTAATGTTTTCAACACACACTTGCCAATCTGGCAAACTCCTGCATGCCTTTAACAAGATCGCTCTCTTCTTCAGGTGGTTCTGCCATGTGGATGATGACAACTACGTGAACGTCAAGACACTTGTCATGCTGCTCTCTCAATACCCTCACACTCAGGACTTGTACATTGGAAAACCCAGCCTGGACAGGCCCATTGAGGCTACAGAGAGGCTTGGTGACAACAAGATGGTAAGCAGCTAAAGATTTGTTGGGATAAATATCAGTTCAGTTTTGATGTGAAGCCAAAGAATGCTCAATTTGGTCCTTTCTTTTCAGCGCCCTGTTAATTTCTGGTTTGCCACTGGAGGAGCTGGTTTCTGCGTCAGCCGTGGTCTGGCTCTGAAAATGAGCCCTTGGGCAAGGTATGATAAATAACAGATATCTTTTGTGTTTGCATTCATGTATATAGTTTTAAGCTTTCTGCTTTTTTTTTTATAAATGGCCATAAGTTGACCTGTAACTCCCGTTTCTTTGCCAGTGGTGGCCATTTCATGAACACAGCAGAGAAGATCCGTCTCCCTGACGACTGCACCATCGGCTACATCGTCGAGTCAGTGCTGGGGGTTCCACTGACGCGCAGCAACCTGTTCCACTCACATCTGGAGAACCTGCAACAGGTGTCCCGGTCAGAAGTACACAAACAGGTGTGTTTGTGAGACTTTTACTTTGGAAATTTAAGCAAAATGACCCGTGATGGTTGCACGGTTGTAATTTTTCTTATTCATTTCTGTTTCAGATTACACTTAGTTATGGTATGTTTGAGAACAAGAGGAATATCATCAATATGAAAGGAGTTTTCCCGGTTGAGGAGGACCCATCCAGGTAAGAGTCCTTTAAATGTTGCAGAAATGAGTCACTTAGCACAAATTCATAGTTATACAGGTTGAATTCGGTTTCGATTATGACCCCATGTCTCTCTTGCAGGTTTAAGTCTGTGCACTGTCTGCTCTATCCGGATACTCCGTGGTGTCCTCTTCAGGTTACCTATTAAGGCAACCAGCTCCTCTCTTGTATCCTCGTCCCGACTGTGCCTCAGTATCTGAAAGGCACTAGGGACCAGTGTGGTATTGGCCCATGGGGCTGCTTTGTTTGACATTGCAGTGCAACGTGGCCTCTCGTGTGTTGTTTTTTTTTTTTTTTTTTTAAATACTGGGCTGCTGTGCGGCCTGCCTTTGGACACTTCCTTCCTGCCTGGTGCGTGAGCTTCCTGTCTGTGTACCAAGCAGTGGGGCCCAGGGCCCATCAGGAAAAAAGGCTTTCAGCACCAAGCTTCACAGGCAATCAGCTGTGCTTACGTCCTTCATATTGCTTGTATCCATTGCAATTCTCATAGAATGTGTTTTTTATAATATGTCCATGCCTTTCTTTCTGCCAGCTTTACATGCTTAGTACATATAAAATCTTTTTTTTTTTTGTTCCTTTTCCAAATGCAATTCAGGATTTTTACTTCAGGTCTGAGGTGACAAGCCTGAAAGAGAGATTTATTTATATATGAGTGCTTTATTATGTTGTAAAGGACTCCGGACGACATAATTAGATGAAGGGTAATTCCGTTGTTAGTTTCATTTTCAGTTTCAGTGTTATACTATTGTTATTACCTTTGTATAAAATGATGAGCTGATAATTTATTATATAATTTGTGCTGGCAAAAGGCAATTTCCATATGTGCCATCAGATTGTTTGCATCTGTGGTGCATTAGGATGAAGCACTTTTCTCCCCTACTGTTCTGAAAATGATTGATGACGGGCCTCAAAGCTGTGCGATGTAAAATAAGCCCCCGTTGACCTTAAAACTGATTATATTTCTAATGCCACTTCTTGCATCCAAACAATCTTGGCATACATTTTTATGAGAAGTTGATATATCTCGATTTGTTAGCTACACTCTGAGATATATATATATATATATCATGGAACGTTGCACAGCTTGGTTGAATGAACTGCTCATTGCTCTTGTAAAGCGCTTCTTGCAAATGGTTCATCGTGAGTAGACTGGATCTGCCAGCATGACCTTGGCCAATATTTTTTTACGTGCATGTGAGTCAAAATCAATTGTCAAAATCTACAGCACGTTTGAGAATAACACGTACATGATCTCCCCAATTGGCCTGCTCCACATTGCTCATTTGACCGGTGTCATTTAGTGGTCTCTACTCTTGAAATCATATAGCAGTCATGTTAAAACTTTACATGAGCAATGGCAGTGTGCCCTATACAGAGACTTTCTCTGTTTTTTTTTTTTTTTTTTTTTTTTCCATGACCCACATTGGGTAGACTGTATGTTATTCTAAAGCAGTATTTATTTACTGTGCCATGTTAAAATAATTGTAAATAGTCGTTTAGATGGTATTATGCTTTCACCTGTGGATCAGACATGGTTCTGATGACTGCTTTTTTTTTTTTTTTTTTTTTTTTTTTTTTTTTTTTTTTTTTTTTTTTTTTTTTTTTTTTTTTTTTTTTTTTTTTTTTTTTTTTTTTTTTTTTGTATTGCTTAGAATTGTGCTAATGGCTGTAATTTATCCTCCAGTATCTGGATTCTCCAATTGCCTTTCTCTCAGGGATTAATGTCCTGATGGAGTTACTGTGGTGCTCCACTGTGGTAACTGTGCATTAGCTTGTGAATAAAACGGCATACCCGCTGAGAAACTATACATCTGTCTGTGTTTTACCTTGCCTCTCATTTCACACTCGAGGTCTTGCTGAAACAGGAAATGAACCTGACTCTCTGGACTGACTAAAGAAAACACTGAAATGTAACCATGTATGAACCAGCATCTACATAGTAAGAAAAGTGCTGTAAGCTGTTGGAGGTTGGGGGGGAAAAACATGCCGTTCCACATGTGACCACAGTTTAAATGCACAGGGCTGACCAGACTTCCTCATGCACTGTTTATTATTTCAAAGCAATTTGGGAGAGGTCTTTAGAAGTCCGGCAAAACAAAGCCATATAAAATGACACATGAGCAAACATATAATTACTGGTAGATGTATAAAGGCATGTTTAAATAGACTTCTTTGTCAGTCTGGTCTTGTCCAAAGCAAAGTGAAAACAGCAATATTAAATCCCACCCATAATTTTTCTACTGGCGGAGGACAGATAATAAAGTCTTCAAACAAAAACTATGCCAAAAACCACAGACTGGAGATCTTGCGAGAGCTTTATTTTGACAAGAAGCATATTCCCCCTTTCCTGACCAGGTTTCCAGTGATGTTTTCCAGGTCATGTAGCGATAGAAAAGTTAATTCCATACCAATATTTGTTAAACTTATAAGGAGAATAGTTTTCAAGTGATGTAAGAGAAGAAATTTGGCTTTTGACATAGACATACAGTACTGTGTAAAAGTTTTTATGACTTCTGCACAAAAACATTTTATATTTCCAAACATTACCTTTGCATCGAAAATGAAATGCTACAGAAAAAATGTTAGTATCTCAGTAAAGAAAGCAGCACATTATGTTACAGACCACTTTTCAGACAAAAAAAAAAAAAAAAAGGTAATGAAGGCTGCTGGGGTTTGCATGCAAAGAAAAGAAGCAAGTGTGACAGTAAAGTCTCGAGAAGAGAGTGGCACATTCTCTAAGGTGCTAAAACTTACCAGCTAATTTCCTTTATAAAAAAAAAAACAGTGTAACAGACAAAGCAAAGGGTTGTCACACCAAATACTGACTTAGTTTAGTTTATTACTGTTTACTACTCTTTATAGTTTTTTTTAATATAGAAACATTTTATTTAATTGCATTATTTTTGAAGGTATCTTTGCTTTACAGGTGAGCACGACTTCTGCACGGTACTGTTTGTAAGGACACAAGCATGCTAGGTTTACTGAAACTGACACTTTGGTTTTTTTTTTTTTTATCTTTGTTTGACTACACTGAATAAAATGATGTGTTGGATTTACTTAAAATATATATGCACCATTTTTGCATCACACGTTTTAAGTAAATTCAACTTTATTAATTTTAAGTAACATGAACAAGAAAACCTTTATGTACACAGAAATATATGAGCTGAAATCTAACACCAGTAGAATGTACCTAGTAATTGCAAGTTGATTCAAATGAACATTTAAGCTTTTTATTGAGCTCACTTCAGTCAAAAAAAGGTTTACAAAAAGCTTTCAGACAATTAGTACAAAACTGAAGCATTTTGTTTTTTGACAGAGATTGCAATACTACTCTGAAACTCTGAGTACCAATATTCGCAGCAATTCAAAAATTCAGTTTAAACGTATCCCCTTGACCACAAATGCAATAAATGAGTGTTAATGGATGTTAAAAAGACAAACTCTAATATTCTACTTTGTTCATTTAAAGCTTACCTGACAACTCTTTCACCGTCTTCACCATGTTGTACTTCAGAAAATGGCGCAGTTTAAGAGTTCCCCCTCCACCACTAACGCAATAAACAAGTGTTAACTGATGTTAAAAAGTTAAACTTTAATATTTTACCGTCTTCACCACGATGTGCTTCAGAAAATGGCTCCAAGTGTTTCGCTGGATATTTGCACTTCACGTCGCTCAGTCACATGTGAAATTTTATGTTAGGTTTACTTAACCTTAACCTAACTCCGATTATAGTTGACGTGACACACGTTTTTCCGTTCACTTTATGCATACTCTTAAGTTCACCTTGTAACTGATATGTTTGTGTTGCACACACTAATGTATGTTATGTAAAGCTAAAAGTATTAGAAAAATGTATGTTTTTGAGTTTAATCTATTTATACATAATGGTTGTTAAGCCAACGAATCACTTTTTTCAGTGTAGGACAACAACATGGATGAACAGGACATCAGGCCATGTTACCTAAACATCTACTGGTCCAAACTGTAGTTACTTCCTATAGTACATTTATGGCATTTGGCAGACCAACTTGCATTTATATAACTGAACAGTTAAGGGCCTTACTCATGGGCCTAGTAGTTGCAGCTTGGTAATGCTGGGATTTGAACTCATAACCTTCCAAACAGAAGTCCAATGTCTTAACCACTGAGCTAGCACCACCCTTTCAGGACTGGGGTTACACAGGAAACACACAGTCTGCATTTTGCTGCAGAATGAGGGCCTGCAAAGGGGGTGTCACATGATAACAGGTTCATCTGGTAGTAACAGAGCATCAGATGTTTCGGTGTTAGTCTCCACACAGAAACGGACCAAAGCAGTGATTATGGGCTCTGCTTGGGAGTGTATCAGCTTGGCAGATCGTTTTATCTAGACAACCTGTTTTGAGATAAGGTTTAGCACTTTTTTTTTGGCTTGGTGTGTGAAGCAGGCTTATGTCAAAAAAGCAGACTTACAATTTATATAAATGGCACCTTGTCAGAGTATGTGACTCTCCTGAGACTGAAATAGGAGGTAAAGTATGTACTGCTGAAACCGTTACCAGTTGAGAACAACAGGATGCCACACTCACTCACTCACTCACTCACACACGCACTCACACACACACTCGTATATATAGTGGAGTGTTTAAAATGCATCACTACTGTGATGTTTGGTGTAATAATGGTTTGAAGTCATTACTGTTGGTCAGTATTATGGCTACACCCTGAGAACAGCTTTCAGAGAACACAGTTTGTTTTCTGTTCTCATCCGTACTTCAAATTCTCATCTGTAATTAGGGCCTCGAGGTATGTTATGACTGCTTCTGCAGCGAAGCGTTAAAGAGTTGGACCACACAATGACTCGACAGGAGCATAGGCTGAGTCGCTGTCGGTTCCTTTATTTCACGACACACAAATATCCCTCGCTCGGCTAAACTGACGCCATTGCGGAGAAGACATAACGAATACTTCAGGAGCTTGGAAATCTAAACGTGAGCTGATTGCTCAATGCTGCGCCTTGCTTGATTAAATGTTTCTGCCTATAAGATTAATGGCAAATAATTAACATTTAGTAGAATGTAGGAAAGTAAATGGTTTCATATGTCTAGAAACTGTTGTGTTTCTTGGAAAAATTAGCTCTATTTTCATTCTGAGTCAGAACGCCTCAGGCACCTAACACCTTTTCAGTCTGTAAAGTTTTCAATTCTTGTTATACCTCATCGTGACGAATATGCTATTTATAAAGGAGATGGAAAGACTTCATCTTCTTAATTACACGCTAATAGCAAATTACTGTCCATCAGGGGTCCATTAATAGCGGCAGAGAAGAAGATTCAAAATGAATAAGATTAACTTTGACTTCTCAGATGTGATGTCAAATAGATGGTGTGATAGATAACATCAGCTTCCTGCTACTATTCAGAAGCACTTCTAATTTTGGAAGTGTTCCTGCCTACATTTTAACCACATATTTTTATAAAAACTCATAACGTCTTTATATGCAAAATGCAAGTTTGTTGTACGATTATGGCGTGGGGTTGTTTTTCAGGGGTTGGGCTTGGCCCCTCAGTTCCAGTGAAAGGAACTCTTAATGCTTCAGCATACCAAGACATTTTGGACAATTCCATGCTCCCAACCTTGTGGGAACAGTTTGGAGCGGGCCCCTTCCTGTTCCAACATGACTGTGCACCAGTGCACAAAGCAAGGTCCATAAAGACATGGATGAGCGAGTTTGGTGTGGAGGAACTTGACTGGCCTGCACAGAGTCCTGACCTCAACCTGATAGAACACCTTTGGGATGAATTAGAGCGGAGACGGCGAGCCAGGCCTTCTCGTCCAACATCAGTGCCTGACCTCACAAATGCGCTTCTAGAAGAATGGTCAAAAGTTCCCATAAACACACTCCTAAACCTTGTGGAAAGCCTTTCTAGAAGAGTTGAAGCTGTTATAGCTGCAAAGGGTGGGCCAACTCCATATTAAACCCTACGGATTAAGAATGGGATGTCATTAAAGTTCATGTGAATGTAAAGGCAGACGTCCCAAAACCTTTGGCGATATAGTGTACTTCAAAAACAGCCACCATGTAGATGGACTGGCTATGCTAAATTGTCCCTAGGGTGTGTGTGTGTGTTTGTATGTGTGTGCGCACGCCACCTTGGACTGACCTTCTATTCAGGACTTATTCCCGCCTCATGCCTAGTGTTCCTGGGATAATCTCTGAATCCGCCACGACCCTGACCACAACAGAGCAGGTACTAAAGACGAATCAATGAATCAAGTTCATGATGAATCAAAAGATCAAGTTCATGTCCAAAAGTCCTTTTATGAAAATAGCATTTTTCTCATAAACCATGATACAGATGCATAAAAAAGGCTCTTTAGTGTTTGTCCTTTCTCTGATTTTCAAATGCATGTATTTTAATTCTCAGTATGTCCCAAAATAGTGAAGGACGAAGGAGTGAGAGAAAGAATTCCAGTGAAAATGTGCCTAGGGTTTTGCACTAATGGCTTGGCCAAAAGACAAGAGCTTTTGTTATTCAGAGTCATGTGCCGGTGCCAATGTGCAATTAAAATGTGTAAACAGCTATGGAAAAACACAGTATTGACATGTGTTTACTTTGTCCTTGTAATGTTAACAAGTAAAGAAAAATGTAGGTCACCACAAAAAAATACACCCACATTAATGAAAACGAATGAATAAAAGTACTTGAAATGGCATCAAACATTTTAAAAGCATGCAAGAAGAAAACTATAAAAACCTATACAGGATCTCTCCATTATATTTGAACCCAGAATTTAGTCTGAATCACTGTACATCGTTTGCTTTTCTCATCGTCAAACCATGACATAAATAACAAGTTCAGGCTTACATTAGTTGTCTGTTACTTTTCTTCAATTCTACACTTTACTCTTCCTGTTCTTGTTTCCTCCACAGCAGTGTGTGATGCAGCCATTTCAAAAGATACATTTTGTCTGACAAAACAAAACAACACACGAGATAAAAGAAATAAAAGGCAAAAACTATTTATACCTGCTTAGATATAGGCGCATCACTTATTTGTGTCCAATCCTGCATGGATTTTCAGTAGCCATTTCATATAATAAGCTATTATCTGACAAAACAAAACAAAACAACAACAAAAAAAAAGAGATAAAAGATACAAAAGGTAAAAACTACTGTATTTATACCTTCTTAGGTATAGGTACACCATTTATTTGCGTCCAATCCTATAAGGATTCTCACTAGCCATTTTATATAATAAGCTATTGTAAGAAAAACAAAAAAAATAAAACAAGAGATAAAAGATATAAAATGTAAAAACTCTTAATAGCTTCTTAGATATAGGTACACCATTTATTTGCGTCCAATCCTATATGGATTGTTGGTAGCCATTTCATATAATAAGCATATAATAATGTCTGACAAAACAAAACAAAACAAAACATGAGACAAAAGATATGAAAGTCAAAAAATATTTACACCTTCTAAGATTATAGGGACATTGTATAATGCAAAAGCTAGCATTAAATACACTGACTCGGATTGGCTTTCTTGTATGACGCATAAACCACTGGAACCAGAATACACACACACACACACACACACACACACACACACACAGTGATAGGGTGTGTAATTTATGCAGTGTGAAAGTACATGTAATATTTGAGGATAGTGTTTTACTCACCATTCCATTTTACTTAAAAACACATAAAGACCGAGTGTAAACTTTTTGGGCATGTGAGCTCTTCATTTTGGGCACTGAGATCCAGTTTCCAAAAACTGAGGAACATTTGAAATAATTAAGGAACTGCCATTCCATTCAGGGTGAACCCAGTGTCCCCAGGACAGGCTCTGGACCCACCAGTACCCTGATGAGGATAAAATGGTTACTGAAGATGAAAGAATGAATAAATATAATAACTACGCTTCATTTCTGTTTGCTGGGTCTCACACACACACACACACACACACACACACACACACACACACAACAGTTTTGTGTACATGGACCTAAGATAAAAGCGAAGAGGTTTGAACATGCTATTTTTGTACATGTTTAAGCCATGAACAAGTGTTAGCAAATCCGTTTTTTGTTTACCCATAAAGCTAATACATGCCTAGCATGATAAAAAGGACCGAATTCAACATTTTAGCCTATTATTGCACATTGAACATTAGGCAATACATTGAAGCTTTTGAAATGTTGCTGATTGTTGGTTCTTGCTTTCAAAGCCTGGGGGTGTGTTTCTGAGGAGGACAACATGTCCCAATCTCAGTGTTCGGGATAAGTCAGGGCTGGAGCTGTCACTTTGCGGTTCAGAAAGAATAAATATGAGCGCAAAAGATTGTGGAAGGGCAGCACAGTAATCCAAGAGATAGTGCTGTTGCCTTATAGCTCCAGGGTCCAGGGTACAATCCTGAGATCTGGTTCCTGTCTGAGCAGATGTTTGCATTTTCTCACCGTGTCCATGTGTGTTTTTTTCCCATTTTGGGTACAGTTTTCTCACATCGCCCAAAAAATATTAGTATGTAGACCATTGATTGTGAATACCGGTTATATAATGTTTCTCTTGTAACAGACCAGCTTCTTTAAGCCTTTTTTTTCTTTAAGCAGTCAAACACTTACAGTGGATATAAAGTTTCTACACACCCCTGTTAAACTGGCAGGTTTTTGTGATGAAAAAATGAAATGTCTCAGAAAAAAACAATAACCTGGTTGCACAAGTGTGCACAGCCCTTAACTAATACTATGTTACAGCACCTTTTGCTTGTTCTACAGTGCTTGGTCTTTATGGGCAAGAGTCTACCAACATCTTGATTTGGTGAAATTATTCCACTCTTCCTGTTAAAAAAAATGCTTCAGATCTATTAAATTGTGAGGGGATCTCCTGTACACAGCCCCCTTCAAGTCATTCTACAGGTTTTCAATAGGATTTTGGGCTCTGACTCAGCCGCACCAAGATGTTCCCAAAATCCCGTTCCTTTGTTGACTTGGATTTGTCCTTTGCATTGTCATTGTGTTAGAAGGTGACATTTTTCTTCATCTTCAGCTGTCTAACAGAAGTCGGTTTAGATTTTGGTATTTGGAGCGATCCATGATTCCCTTTATTATAACTAGAGCCCCATTTCCAGCTGAAGAGAAATATCCCCATAGCATGATGCTGCCACCACCATGCT